AGGTCTTGCTGACCACCCTCCCCGTCACCTTGCCTCCGCCAGCGAGTTCGCCAGCATCGCGACGGGCTGGTGATTGCGCTTGCGCGGTGGTCCGGCAAGATTGGCGCTGATGGCCTGGGATTTCGGTTTTGGAGCTGGTTCTAAGTGGGCGGGGTTCCTCAGATGCTTGGAAGGATTTTCTTCCTTAACAGCTCTTGGGGAGTCCGCGGAGGCCCAGCGGAGTCCAGATCTGGAGCCCTCTCAACGGGAGATGGTCACCCCCAAGTGTCTTCCAGGGACACTAAAGAGGCAACCCAGGTTCTTGTTCTACCCGGTCGAGTGTGGGCCCAATGGGACAAGCCTTCTTGATTATCTCAAGGCCACCACCACCACAGCCACGGGGCCTAAGACCAGAAGCAAGGAATTTTAGTGCTGGACAGGACCCAAGAATTCATCTTGTCCAGCCCCTTCTTAAGAAAGAGGACACTGGGCGGTAGAAAGGACTTGACCTGCCCAAGGTCAAGGAGCCTGGTAGAAGCACGGCTAGAACCAGGCTTCCTTACTCCACCTGGTGTTCTTTCCACTTGAGATGCAAAGCCACCTGTCTATGTTGGATCATATGATTGCCTACAGGCAACTATAACAGGATTAAAATGAAGTTAACCAAGTTATAGGCCCAAAATCCATAGGACTCAACAGGTGAGTGTTAAATCGCCTAATTAATTTAGGCCTCCCTTTATTCACTTGCAAATAGGACTGGATTTATAACCAGGGGCAGATTACCCAATAAACAAGATAAGCACAGCTTATTTGTGCTTACTTGTTTGTAGTGAACAATTTCCACAGTTGTAAATGAAACTAGTAAATAAACCCAAATAAGCTTGTGTGTCCCTTTCAGGAATTTTATGTTTGAAAAGAGACTTTGATTCTGTAGGAAGGTGCTGTGGGCTTGGGAGAGACAGATCCCATCCGTACTAGAAGCAGAATCTTTGATGTAATGAAAAAATGTGAAATTGTTCACTACAGATTAATAAACACAAGGAAGCCTGTTACTGGGTAATCTGACCCTATTTATAACAACCTTCTTCTTCCTCCTTCCTCCTCTACCCCCTGCTTCCCCCCAGCCTTGTAAAGAAAGACCTCCTGGGACTTGGTTATCTGGATTAGAGTAACAGTTGTAGAGCATTCAAAGGTGCTACAGAACATTAAGGAGCCCTGGTAGCATAGTGCCTAAGGCACTTGATTGCTAACCAGAAGACTGGCAGCTCAAACCCACCCAGCCACTCCTCAGAAGGAAGGTTGGGCAATCCTACTTCCGTAGTGATACTGCCTCAGAAACCCAAGGAGGGGTTGCTATGAGTCGGGGCCGACTCGACTCGACGGCAAATAACAACAACACAGAACATTAAGTGCCATCGAAGGAGCTCTGGTGGCATGGTGCCTAAGACATTTGACTACTGTTCTGGCTACCTAGTACCACTCTGACAAGAATATACCACAAATGGGATGCTTGAAGAAACAAGAGTTTATTCTCTTACAGTTTGGAGGCTTTAAGTCCAAGTTCAAAGTGCCAAGCTCTAGGGGCTGGGTGAAAGCTCCTCAACCTTGGGGTTCAGCTCTGCCTCCTGTTCCCAGCCCACTGAAGCTGGAGGCTTTTCTTCACTCAGCTGCTTGCTGCTAAGGCTGACAAGCCCGAGGTTGAGAAGTGAAAAGGCACAGTCCCAGTGTTACCAAACCACATGGCAGGCCATTAATTCAAGTCCATTGGAAGTCCCAAGGTCAGCAGAGCATGGCAGGCTGCTGAACAACAACACGGCTACATACAGGGTTGTTCAAGCATGCCATAAGCTAGAGACCGTTTCCCAAGTCGTCTCCTTATATACAGGAAGCTGACCGCATCCATAAGGCAACTACTCAGCTGCTCACAGTAGATTGGACCATGGAATCTGCTCCACCATGGAGTAGATTACCAGTCTCATCATGGGGAATACTACATTCAGCTGCCCAGCCACTCAACCAGGTCCAGCCAAGTTGACACATAAACTTAACTACCACTAATAACCAGAAGGTTGATGGTTCAAACCCACCAACTGCTTGGCAGAAGGAAGATGGGGCGATCTACTTTGGTAAAGATTTACTGCCTTGGAAACCCAAAGAGGGTAATTATGAGTCAGAATCGACTTAGTGGTAGTAAGATCTATATGATAGATGAATATTATAATGATAATATTAAAGATAATAATAAATAACAGTTTGTTGTTGTTATGTGCCATCGACTCGGACCCGATTCATAGTGACCCCTCCTTGGGAAGGCAGTATCACTACAGAAGTAAATTGCCCAACCTTCATTCTGAGGAGAGGCTGGTGGGTTTGAACTGCCAGCCTTCTGGTTAGCCTTAGGCATTACACTACCAGAGCTCCTGTACATGTGTATATTTTTAATTCAGAGAAGAATCCACGTTTTGTAGAACTTGAAATTTTTACTTACTTGTCAGACCTTTTGAGGACAATGAATACAAAAATTACAAATTTGTAGTTAAGTTACTGCCGTCAAATCAGTCCCAACTCCATGGGTTTCCGAGGTGATATCTCCATAGAAGTAGATTACCCAGTCTTCCTTCCAAGGAGTGGCTAGTGGGTTTGAACTATCAGCCTTCTGGTTAGCAGTCATATCTTAGGGTCTACACCACTAGAGCTCCCATGGTTAGGTTAAAAGTAGTAAATAACAAAGAACTGAGTTAGAGAGGGGAGAATAAAAGAGTCATACTAGAGGGACTCCCTGGGTAGTGCAAATGGTTACTGTGCTCAGCTATTAAACAAAAGTTTAGAAGTTCAAGTCTACCCAGTGGCACCTCAAAAGAAAGATCTGGTGATCTACTTCCAAATAATAGCCATTGAAAACCCTACAGAACACAGCTCTACTCTGACACAAGGGGTCAACATGAACTGTAATAGACTTTATAGCCAGTGTGTTTTGTTTTGTTTTTTACATTTTTTACTAAGGAGAGTGGCTGGAGAAGAAGAGGTTTAAGAAGGAAAATGAGAAATATGAAAAATGAAGAAGCAGCTTTCTTGATGAAAAAGACTTGGAGGAATTAGATGATTGATTCACTGCCATCGACTCATAGCAGCCTCCCTTGGTTTCCCAAGGCTGTAAATCTTTTACAGAAGCAGACTTCCTGATCTTTCTTTCACAAAGCAGCTGATGAGTTCCAACAACTAAACTTTTGGTTAGCAGCTGAATGCCATAACCTCTACACCACCAGAACTCCTTGATGATTGAAAGGATTGTTAAATATTTTGTTGCTATTTTGCAGTATACACCTTGCTTTGTTGTTGTTGTTGTTGTTAGGTGCCATTGAATCAGCTCTGACTCAGCGACCCTGTGCACAACAGAACGAAACACTGCCCACTCCTGTGCCAGCCTCACAATCCTTGCTATGCCTGAGCCCATTGTTGCAGCTACTATGTCAATCTGTCTCATGGATGGCCTTCCCCTTTTTCGTTGACCCTCCATTTTACCAAGCATATCCTTCTCCAGGGAATGGTCCCCTCTGATAAGATGACCAAAGTAGGTGAGACTCTGACCATTCTCACTTCCAAGGAGCATCCTGGCCTCACTTCTTCCAGGAAGCAAGTTCTTCTGGCAGTCCACAGTACTTTCAGCATTCTTCCATAACACCACAACTCAAAAGCATCAACTCTTCTTGGTCTTCCTTATTCACTCCAGCTTTCACATACATACGAGGCAATTGAAAACACCATGGCTTGGATTAGGCACACCTTAGTCTTGAAAGAGACATTTTTGTTCTTCAGCACTTTAAAGAGGTCTTTTGCAGCACATTTGCCTAGTGCAATATGTCATCTGAAGACTTGACTGCTGCTTCCATTGGTGTTGATTGTGGAATTAAGTCATATAAAATCTTTAATGACTTCAATATTTTCTCCATTTATCATGATGCTGCTTATTGGTCCAGTTGTGAGGATTTTTGTTTTCTTTATGCTGAGGTATAATCCATACTGCAGACTGTAGTCATTAATCTTCATCAGTAAGTGCTTCAAGTCATCTTTACTTTCAGCAAGTGGATTGGGTCATCTGCACCTCGCTTTAGTGCCTCTTTAAAATCTTCTTTAAAAATCTAAATTACTTTTCATTTCTTTTTTAGATATCAGAACTGTGTTTCTTCTCGTTAACATACTGTGTGGAGTCTGGCCAATAGGCAGCCAAGATAAATTTAGTTTACAGACTAAATGATGTCTAAAGTTTCTTCCTTCTTCAAAATTAAATGATTTACCCAGAATGTCCTCTGCTATGAGCATTTTTGTGTCTTTGTTTCTTAATCTTCATGAAAGCCTCAGTTCTGACAGTTCTGTGTCTATATGCAATAATCTCTGTCTTGGATCAATTAAAGGAATAAGAGCTTATATTAATATATTGGCACATTATTTTTTTTTCTTAACTGGTCAGCAATTTTCCTCCCCTCCCCTCTGTGGTGGCGTAGTGCCTAAGCCATTTGACTGCTAACCAGAAAACTGGCAGTTCAAACCCACCAACCACTCCTCAGAAGGAAGGTTGGGCAATCTACCTCCATAGTGAGATTGCCTCAGAAACCCAAGGAGGGGTCACCAGGAGTCAGATCCAACTTGACGGCAGTGAGTTTGATTTGTTTTTTCTCCCCTCCCATCAGTGGTAGCCAAAAATGTAAACTTCCTTCTCTGTGTAAACTTTTCCTTAACTTTTTGTGGTAAAAGACTCATAAAATATTTGACCCTCTGTGATTGACTTATTTCACTCAACATAATGTCCTCCAAGTTCATCCATGTTATGCAGTGATTCACAGATTATCATTATTCATTAATGTTT